CTGCCTCTGCGGTCTGCGCGTCCTGGGGAGGGACAAAATTGTCGCCGCCGGAGACGACTCGACGCCGCTGAGATCGGAGATCAAGCTCTGACAGGTCGCACGTCGCTCCTTTGACGCCGACGTGACTCGCCCGTGCAGAGCACATCAGTAAACGGTCTCGACGCGCTCGGTACGACCCGTCTCGGGTCAGGTGGCACGACGCTCATCGCGCCCGCCAGCGCTGCCGTGCAGGCTGCCACGATGAGGTCGAGCGCGCTTCTATACGCTCGCCCAGCCTTCCTTTCCATCCCATTAGGCAGCCTGGGAACGGTGGCGGTCAGAGGCAAAGCCTGCGAGGGGTGGTGGAACCACATGTCACGGCCACCGCCGGCTCGACCCCACGATAGCCTCCGAAGGCTGACTTTGCGGCACCATCATCGGACGATGTCGACGAGTTGGGTCGCTCTCGCGGTAGCCAGATGACCTTCCATACTAGTATCATCGGCCAGGGCCGCAGGAAGCGCGGGGGAGGGCGCTGGGAGCAACACGCGGAGCTTCGTTGTGGACGCGTTTTCAAGATTAGCGTGTCAGAGTGAATTGGAATGACGATCGGCCGTCGATCCCGAGGCAGGAGGGTCGTCGGTTGAGCTAGGGAGCCTGGCGATGGACGCCACCGCGACCCCTCGTGGCATCTCTCTCGCCGTCGGCGAGCTAGGGGCTCGCGGACGGCCGATTAATAAACAGTGTACAGCCGTGAGAATTAGTTCAACTGTGAACGGGGACATGTGCGGGACGTGTCAGGCCGATCTGCTCTCTTTGTCGGCCCTTGCGAGAGACGCCCGCAACCCACGGCTCTTGTAGAGGTCGATACTCGACGCGTCCCACATGGTCTGTGTCGCTGTCGGCACGCTGCGGACAGGACGATCGTCGAGCGACACCGGTGGCAGTGCCACCCAGGACGCAGGAGTGGTCGGGGCGGTCTCCCGTCATGAGAGAGCCACCATGTGGTCCGTAAGATGATTCCTGACAACCGCCTCAGTCAACTTTCGTCACAGTTCCCGAGCGGGTCTGAGAGGAGCTGCGGGTCAGTTCGACAGCTGGAGCTGTGTCGCCGGCGTGCGGCGGCCTGCCTCCGGAGGTGCCTCTGAGGTGGACATTTTTTGGTCACCGTGAGAGAACGCGTTCGAACTTTTCTCCGCAACTTCCACTTAGTTCAGGTCCCAGCTACCTACGTTGGTTGTATGAAGCACCAGGTGTGAAAGATTTGCCCCCTTGGAGAACCGGATTTTCTCGGTGTCGTACGTTTTAGCTTACTGGGAGAAAAGGGATCATGTTCTCTAGGCCCTCTCTCTCTCTCTCTCTCTCTCTCTCTCTCACTCTCTCTCTCTCTCTCTCTCTCTCTCTCTCTCTCTCTCTCTCTCTCTCTCTCTCTCTCGTGGCTCTTACGTTCATATTCCCGGCGCGGCGCGCGATTTCTTGTCTCACCAAATTCACCGCTCTTTATACTCGTTTATTCACGAGGCGACCAGGGTACCTGGGCGTGCTGTGAATAAACAGCGAGAAGACGCCTGCACAAAGCTTGACGTAAAACGCCCCCGGCGCGACGTCCATCGAATCACAAGCCCACGACAAACATTCATCGCGCTGCTCACAATGAGCGAGGCGGAGAGACTCTCCGCCGTGGCTCGAGGGTCTTGCGCACTGGCGCCAGCTTCCTCCTCGCGAGCCTCATTGACGACTTCTCGCTCCTCCTCGGTCTCCTCTGCGCGCTCGTCCCTCGGGGGGGTGAAGCCTGGCAGAGACCGCGCCTGGGTGCTGGATGACCTCATGCGCGCTCACTGGAGCAAGCCGCCGTCGTACGGCACATCATCCGTCGCACTCCGCGCGCTCCAGGCGCTAAACGACTGCTGCGGGCCCTGCGAGAAACGGCAGGCTGCCACCTATCTCCCCTTGGGCCGTTGGTCACTCGTCGCATGGCAGCCCCGCTGGCTGTATAGCACACCCTCTGGACTCGCATACTGCCGGGCGGAGCAACCCGAGCGCGGGCGCCACCTGCCCTTTCAGAACATGGAGTCGATCCGACTTGACGGCACTGAGATCATCGTGCGATGCGACACCCGCGACTTCCACTTTCAGCCGCTCGACACAGATACGGACGACGCTGCGAGCATTGCGTTGAGGTGGGCTCAAGCACTAGAGATCTTACGCTCGGCTTTCGGGGCGCACGAGGGCGGTGGCGTGCCCCCTTGCGAGGGTTGCAATGGTAGTGGGCCTCGTGACGGCGTGGTCGAAAAGCCAGTCAGTGAGCCACCGTGAGACGGGGTCGCGCAGCACGTAAGTAAATTCGTTTTGTGTGCCTTGTATCATGAATGGTCGCTGCTATGTATTCGGTCCAGCACGCGGCATGCTGGCCCCGCCCCCAAATTGCGGCCCAAGGCCCCAAGCCGCGGGCCCGCGGCCGCCTCGAGGCGGCCGCCCCCCCGCGCCCCGGCCCCGGCGCACGACGCTCCTTATGGCTTACAACCCGTATATGCCTGCGCATTACTTTCAGCTGCTGTGCCCTTGTGACTCTGTCACTCCTCGGCCTGATCGCGGGCAACCCTCCTGCGAGCACCCCATGCGGTCGCTTCCTCCTTCGGACCTCGGAGATAGCCGCGCCGAGCGGCTATGGTACCACATTATGTAGGTTACCACAACAACGCGAGGAGAGGAACCGGCATAGAATAACTCCCACCGAAGGTGTGGAACGTGACGCGATGGCCGGATTCATAGTTACACAGGCGGGCCACGAGCAGACAGTCGTGCAACTCGGCGCTCTCCCGAAGACACAATGTCGAAATGGAGGCCAGCGACCTGGGGCATGGGGCTCTGCCGCCGCCGCCACTCCCATCACCGCTGTCCGCAGCGCCGACCAGCTCCGCCAAGGCAGGTGCTCCACACTTGGCTCTCGTAGCGCCCGCGTGAGCTCTGCGCCCGCCACTCCTCGATGATCTTCTTCACCAGGATCTTTGAGGGGTCCTTCCACTCGGCGCCGAGCGAGCAGATGGTCAACGCATTCCTAGGACTAGCGCACATGAGTACGGCAAACTGGGTGGGCTCAACACCCCAATCTAGCCATACAGTCTAGCTACGCCGCCTGCTCCAGGCCCTCCTCAAACTCGGCAACTGCCGCATTTGTTGCTGCTCCGCCTGACGATGCTTCCGCAGTGCGCTGTTCAGCTGCGACTTGCCGCAGTTCATGTTCAACCCATGGACCGGCATGACGATATGGGATGCCGACAGGCGTCAGGCGGCGCATGTCGAGAAGTCGCTTGCCGTGCGGGAGCTCGTGCGCCTCTCCCTGCGCGTGCAGTCCACGGGCGTCGTCGCGGAGCTTCATCTCGACACGGCACTGGTTGCTCCGAGCGGCAGCGGAGCTGATCACGAGCGACGAATTCGCCGGGGATGCCAGGCAACAGATGGGCGCGCAGATAATTGGCGTGGCGTCCTTGAGCACTTGAGCACTGGATAGGGTCGATTCCGCATGGTACGGGACCCCTCGATCGTCTCGCCCTCCCTCACTGGAGTGTTCATTGGGGGGGGTCATAACAAACACGGTACAGGATCGAGGTGCACGCTGCTGAAGCAGTGTCGTCCCCTCTCTCCCCGACGGCGATGGCGGTGTGTGTGACCGATCGAGCTACAAGAGGAGCTTGTTCAGCAGGATCCGGGCTGAGGGAGGGTGTAGAGGATGTAGAGTGTAGAGCGCTGTAGAGCTGTAGAGCTGGGGAGCGCTGTAGAGCTGTAGAGCTCTACATCCACCGCGTGACGAACTGCGTGCGTTGTAGAGCGATGTAGAGGCGCTCTACAACGTGAAATCTCTACAACAAACTCTAGATCATAAGCGGCGAACGAGGCACGGTCGCTCTCCGACATGAGGCGCGTTGCACTTGCCAGTGCTGCCCTGGCCTTCTGTCTGCCCGCCCAATGGGTGGCAGATGCCTCTGCTGCTGTGGCATGCCTCACGGCTGCGACTGGCCGGCGCCTCGGCGCGTCAGCTCGGCTCGGCGTAGCGATAGTGGCCAGCGCAACTCGCCTGGACTCAACGCTCAGCCAGGAGCTCCCGCACGCGCTGGCGCGAGTCATGGCGCATGCAACGCGTCTGAATGCTCGCCTCGCCTCGCGCAAATGCGACCGTCCTCGCAGCCGACAGTCCACCGCCTGCTAAAGAAGCACACACAGCGACGAATGCGGCACCGGCGACGCATGGCAGGCTGGTCATGACGCAGTTATAGGGTGTTGTGTGCCGTCAGAGTGACTCTCTGTGTGTCAGGGATAGTCAGGGCCGTCCACCAGAGCTCCAGTAAGCTCGGAGACACCCCATTAGTGCGACTCGACCTCTTTGAGTTACTGCCTTCCCGGCGCGGTTTGGCTGTAGAGCCTCTACAACAAACTCTACAGCAAAATCGCGCTCTACATCGCTCTACAACGCACGCAGTTCGTCACGCAGCCGATGTAGAGCTCTACAGCTCTACAGCGCTCCAGAGCGCTCTACATCTCTACAGCTCTACAGCGCTCTACACTCTACATCCTCTACACCCTCCCTCAGGATCCGGGATAGTCTGATGCACTACCTCACTGGGCCTGAGACCACCGAGACGCCTCCCGTCACCGTCTCGGACTTGTGTGGGGTCGAACCACTCCGGGATGGGCGAACCCATCGTTCCCACTGAGAGTTGTGCCTTTCTTTCACCTGTGAGAGACAGTGGAGAGTGTGTGCGCCACATCGACCGGAGCGGACGGGGAGGTGGGAGGGGGGGGGGGGGGCGCGGGGGGGCGGGGGGGCTCATCAGGTGAAGAGGCAGACAAAGCAACTCCAATAATTGTCAAAATTCCTGTTGTGCAGGAGGGGAGGGGGGCAGGGGGCTCTGACGGAGTGTGTGGCGGGAGAGGGCAGGGATGGGCCCGGGGGAGGGGGGGGGGGGGGCTCAGCCGTGCAAAGAGCATCAACTAATAACAGTAATGAAGAAATATTGCTCGGCCGTTCATGAAGTCCGTCTCGATCTGGAGGAGACGGGTCAACCCCGTGAGGACCAGATCAGGTTCACATTGTCGTAGCCGGAGGCGATGTTGACCTTTAGCTCTTGGGGCCACCCTCCGCCTTTGGTTTTTCCCCACAGACCACTCGGGCAACTTTTACCAAATGCCAAAGTTGCACCCTAAACAACGCGACCGACGAGCATGCTCAACTGCTGCGCGACGCTCTCTGCGATCCCGACTTTTGTATGCGCTTTGCCATTCGCCGCCGCATTGGCTCAGGGGGCACAGTCCGCTTGCAGTGGCTCTTCCGCACGAATAGCGTTGTTGGCCGCACGGAGGAGCAGGTGCGATCGCACATCAACCTACCAGCGGCGTCCTACGAGGCGGCGTACTGGGTGGAGCGCAACTTGAGCAGCTATGATGAAGTGGTGCGGGACGTGATCTACTTGCGGAGCGGGGCTTCCTCCGAGCGCGAGGCGGAGGCTCCAGCCGCGCTGCACCTTGTGGTGCCGCCCGAGTTGGACAAGCGCAGCTATTGGAAGGGTACTGGATTCACAGGCGTGTATTGGCTGCAGCCCGGCCAGCCAGTGTACGGCCACGCCAGCTACCGACACAGCTGGGAAGCGGAACCTTCATGGTATGGCAGCTCGCACCCATCTTTGGGTTCAACAACTCGTGTCTTGGCAGGGCCGTGCTGGCCTGGACCAGATGAAACTGACAGGGCGCCGTGGATCACGGTCAGGTTGACAGGGGCGCAAGCAGTTGGGCTGGCCCGGGCCAGCACCAGTGTACCATACAATAGACCGCCGGCTATCGGTTTGTGTACGGCTTTGAGGCTGTATATGCTGCCAAAACGACTGCCGTCACTGGTCCCTGGCACCATGGCTTGCGATGCGAGGCATTAACCGAGGAGGAGGCGCACACGCTGCTAGCTGAGCGCCAGCGTGCCATTCAGGATGCTGGCTCCCACCTGCCGCTCAGGATGCTGGCTCAGGACGAGGCGCTCGCGAAGGCCAAAGCAGCCGATGCCGTCAGCTACGCGCGCCTTCCGCCCCCACCGCCTCCGCCTCCTCCTCCGCCGCCTCCGCTACCGCCGCCGATGACATGGACCAACGAAAAGCGTGAGCAAGTGCTCTCATTTTCGGGGCCACAAATGCCGCATCGGGTACAGCTGAGGCTAGTCGATCGCGTGTACGAGGTGTTCGAACAGCACGGCAAGCCTGTAGATCACACCACCGTTGCAGCAGCGCTAGGGGAGTCGCATCAATCTGCAGTCCGGTCTGCATTGACTATCGCCCGTGAGTGAGCGCTGGGGTGAACAACATCCTGACGCCATGCCGTCCTCGAAAGAGGCACTCGCTGCCGTGAAGGGGCTGACGCAGCAAAGGGGATTCATGTACCTCACCAACAAGAAAATTCACGAGGCGTTGCTGCCTCAGCTGCCGGGTCTCACTTTCGGTCAAGTGCGGCGAGCTGCGGCGCGCGTGCGCGATCCACAACGGGCTGTCACAACTTACGGGCAAGAGATCCCGGTGTGGGAAGCGTCGCAGCGTGCCTATGTCTTTCCTTCAACCGGCGAACATGTTGCAGGTGACCAGTGGTCAACTCCCACGAAAGGCCAAGCAGGCCGAACCATGCGGCATCACGTAGCATGTTGCATGTGGGCGGCTAAACAAACAAGCTAACCAAGCTCTCCTAAAGCATACACTGGCACTAGATGCGTCCTGGCATCGGGAGGGTCCGCCTAAGAGGAAGTACGTTCGTAAGAACTGATATATGTACTTTGTGCGTGGAGCGTCTTCCCCTTTTGCGCAGCAACACCTTAAATTTCATGGCCCTCCAAATTCGGGTCGGAGCGTAGCCTAGCCCGTAGGCGTAGCGGAGTGGGCCCCGAGTTTGAAAAAGGCGACGGACGCTTGCGTCCTAGCCTCCAACAACGCCTCCCCGGCGCAGAGGGGCCCCCGGAGGGACGCTCAACCGCTCCACGCCACGCCGCTTGCGGCCCGGTTATTCGGGGCCACCTTCTGGGTTTTTTCTTTTGAGTTGGACCCAATTACGGCGCCCAAGGGTGCCGGCGTACATGACACGGTACGACGACACCTTCGGCGTTCATGCCACAGGACTCGACGCTGTCGGCCGCACCAGCGCCCGCGCCTACTCCCTCTCGAAAGCGCAAGCCGCCCGAGACGTGCTGGGGCCAGGAGTTTGCCAGCGGCGGGACGCATGCAAAGGCGGAACCGCTGTCTGCCGCCTTTCGGCAGAGATTCTGTGCCGCCTGCCAGAGGGACGGCCTCCTCATCCCCGCCTCGCGCGTGCGCGTCCATAACCCGCTGGAGTCGGCGGCGCCGTCCAACCAACACGGTGGTGGCGTCTGGAACACGGCGGAGGGTGGGGCGCCATCGCCCCCGTGGCCAGCGCATCGCGTCGTCAATCAGACGGCGGGATGCGTCGGACCAAAGCTGGTGCTGCTGCGCGACCCGACGACCGCGACCATTCCGGGCCTGCTTGCTATGCCCTGCGCTCCCGGGAGCGTGATCGCCTTCCGGGTGGGTCGCACGCTGCAGCCGACTGCGCTGCCGCCGCTGCTCCTCAAGTCGCTGCCACCGCTGACGTCGGACCCGCCGCTGCCGCCTCTGCCGCCGCAGCCGCTCGAGTCTTCGGGCCTTCCGCCGCAGCCGCCGCCGCTCGCGCCCCCTTCCTTCCAGGCCTCTTCGTCGCCTTTCCCGCAACACGACCGTTGCTTGCTACACGCCCTTGGGAGTGCTGTGCGGATTCGTGCCACAATTCCGGTACAATGTACGCGGCGCGCGCACAATCTGCCTGCCATCCCTGGGTAGTCAACTACAGCAGCTGGTAGACGACGTGCTCGGCCCGGGCTGTCAGATTCAGCCCGTGCATCGCAACCAAGCGCCCCAAATCAATCACAGTGGTGCACCGCAAGCCATGGACTCTGCTGATCGCGCAAGTCCGCTGTGTGCGGCCGTGAGAAGGCTGTATGCTCAGGATATGCTGCAGTGGGAGCAGCGGTGCGAAACGTATACAAGGCCTTTTCGAAAGCGCTCCAGGGCGAGGCCAAGCGCAAGTACTTCGAGCACGCCGGCGCCCTGCTCACAGCCGACGGCACGGACGACGACCTGCTCATCAAGCTGGAGGGCGCCCCCGCCGGCTACAAGGTGGTGATCCCGCAGCTTACTTAATATTTTATTTTCTCACGGAAACACGCTCGGCCCGGCTGACCTGAGTGCCGGCCGGGGCTAAGAAACCACGGCGCGGGCTGGGGGAGGAGGGTGGAAAGGCTTAGAAACGGCGGCGTGGCGCCGGATCCTGTTTTCTTAATGCCCGAAACAGACTGTAAATCTTAGCGCCGTTTGATTGTTTTGGTCGGAGAGTGTTTGATTGTTCTGGGGGGCTATACCAGTAAATCGCAAGCACTGAGACACATCCAGCCCCACATGAACCGCCCGCCGCCGCTCAACACGCTGACGGCTGACT